TTTATTTATTTATTTATTTATTTATTTACTTTATTTATTTATTTATTTATTTATTTATTTATTATCAAACTTGTATGCCGCCCATCTCCCCCAACAGGGAGATATATCTATATATATATCTATCTATATATCTCTCTCTATATAAAATATATTTATATATTTTACTCCTTTTACGACCATATTGTTGATGTATCTGCTTCTACTGGATATGCTTATTCATTTTATGATGCTGGTCTAGTCCATAATGAACTTTAGCTAACTAACTCAAACTGCTTTTTGTGCATCCTACAGCCCCCTCTCCTGCTCCTGCCAATTTTCAGGAAGTTAAACACTGTAATTTTAAGCCTGATAAAGTAGAAGGGGCAATCAACTTCAGAATGAAGTTTAAGAAAAATGTGGTTTTGACCTCCAGGCATACTCCCTTCCTACACCACATCCATTTCCCCCCGCCTTCTTTGATCACCCACAGCCCCTAACCCATTCCAAGGTCTAACTTGGACCCCCCAAAGGGCCCTGCATTCACCAACTGTGTTTGCACAACCTGCTTAACCAAGTCAGGTAAAGAAATGGTCAGTGAATTTGCCCAACATACTAACCTTGATTAGCATTAACCTTGCTTAGATTCTATTCTGGTTTTGCATATTGTGTGAACCTAGCCTATTTGATTCAATGCACCATGTAAACCCAGATTAAGGGTTAATTTAGTAATTAGGAAGCATATTGGTCATGAAATATGAGAGACAGTATAACATGGTGGTTAGATTGTTATACTGTCTATAGATTGTTGGATGTTGCATTGGGATTGGAGATCCAGATTCAGGTTCACTCTCAATGCAACCTAGCTCACAAGGTTGTTGTGAGAATAATAATGGAGGATAAAATCTGATGTACATTGCCTTGAAGTCCTGAAGGAAAGGTAGGATACAAAACTTAACGACTTCATAAACTGTGCAAAACATACACACATGTTCTTTATATTGGGATTGTCACAATCTTACACATTATTTGTGTTATATTCTATTTCTACTAAATCTCCTTGGGCTTTTCAAACTAGCTCACAAGAAGAACCATGAATATACTGTTAAAAATTACTGAAGACACAAAAAACCTAAAACCAACACCAAATCAGCATGTATTGAAATGATTGTCCCTCCAGGAGCATCTTCAGGCTGTCAACTCGGAAGAGCTCTCTGGGGACTGAATCCCATCAAAGTGAAGCACAACATATTAAGGGTGTTTGTGCAACTCAGTTTGGACCATGAGATCAGAGTGGCTAGCCATTTGTTTTGGACCATGAGTGGCTAGCCATTTGTTTTCAACCTCTGGAAAAATATAAAGAAGAAATCAGAAAAGCTCATTGGGCATTGGCTGAAATATGGACTGAGTCTGAACTCTAAACTCACCGATCAGAATGAATAACGGCTCCAGTCTTTGGGTCAATGACGTGGATGATGATACCACGATGGCCCCAGCTTCGCTCGAAGTAATAGCCCCCTTCTTCCAATCCCCCTGGATTCAGAGTCTTGTTTAAGAAAGTCCAAGACAGTTTTCGCTCACCGTGGACCTCAAGAGTTCCGCCATCAATGATGCCAATAAACTTTCGCCCAAAATAAATGTCAGGTTGGCTGCCATCATCAGCACTGTGGGATTAATTTGAATGGTATTTTATTTCTCACCTTTGGGAGTTGCTCTACAGCAGTGGTCAGAGTGCCATAAAAATAAATAGAGGGCATTATGAAACCATCAGTTGAAATAATCAAGCAAATGTAGCTGCTGAAAGCAGCAGAAAATAAATACAGGGAAAATAAAGGAAGTCCATTGATTGTGTTGCAGCAGAAACAGGAAAGGGCCCGGGAAAAATAAAATGGACTTTCACTTGGCACCAAAAGGAGCAGGTTTTGTGAAAAGAGAATTCCAAAAATGGGAAGCTACTAATAGGCAACCACTAGATAGCAAAAAGATTCAAACTGGTACTAGTCAAATAACCCAGATCTGAAGAAATTTTCTTCCAAAAGCTCCTACTTGCCCCTGAAGAGATATCTTTGGAAGTACTATTCTCATTCCCATTCTTAATAAGTCACCTATCCTATCTCAGAATTGCAAAAACTTGTAATGGAGTCTCCAAATATAACCTTAGGGTTGGGTTGAATAGGAACATACAGGAAAAGAGTTCTGTCTGGGCAATGATGTATAGGGTCACACCTAACCCTTGCCCTACCTTTGGAACCTGAAACGAAGACCCTCCACCAGAAAATTTAGGCAATTTCAATTTCATCATATCCTAACAACCTTTAATTCAGTGTATTTTTATTCTTGGGGGTTTCATTTTTGATTTATAATATAGCTATATGTTATTGCAAGGTCCAACCAGAGATAATTCTGCAAAATTAAGCATCTTCTCATTAGTATTCTTCCTCTCAATGCATCATAGCAATTTCCCTGCCAAATGCACCAGATCTCTGTTCCTCCATCCAAAAAAAAAAATAGCCTTGTGGGGCTAATCTTCAAAATTATGGATGAGGGCTGTTTAATTACATACCGTCCATACAAGATGATTGTCAGGCTGCTCCGGAAAGGGCAGTTCTCACTCCCAATATGTAGTTCTCCATCATTTTCTATCCGTATATGACGAGTGCGCAGAACAATGGGGGCTATGTTATCTTTAATCACTAGTTTTCCTAACAGAGGAGAAGCAAAGGGGGTATTTAGCTGGTTGATTTAAAATTGTACCATAATGTTAAGATTTTCCTTATATGTTATCCATGCTTGCATTTCTCAGTTGTGCCCCTTTTTAAAGAAGGCAGATGATAAACATTGTCTAAATGCCCAGTTTTAGTCTTCGGATTTTTTTCCTTGTTGGATTCTCTGTAAAACATTCTCTAAAAGAAAGACTCTCTTTTTCAGAAGGAAAAACCAGATTTGGTTATCACTGTCTGTATAATCCACTGATATTTGGACCCAGCAGTTTTGGTTTCTGAGCTACGTGGT